CCTTCTGAATTGCAATGAACTTCCATCCATATCCAAAGGCGCTGCTGAATATAGATCTCCCTCTAAAAATAGCACGGAGACATCACGTGGAGACGAGAAAACATGGTTAATTATTTAATTCAATAATGTGGAAAACACACTTGCTTTCCAACTCTGACGTCACACACGACAGGCGGTGGTTATGTAAGTCTGAAGTCAAGAGTCAGGACAAAATCATTGTTTGTTGTTGAGGAAGAAGCTATGTGTTTAACATACCTACTGTGAGGGACAGGTAGTTCTGTGTGTACGTGAACGGCGAGATGCCAGTCCCCTCATAACTCTCGACTATGTCATAAGACTGATTGTTGACTGAAGCAAACTGCAACACAACAGCGAGAAAACAGAACACTGTGATAAGACAGGGGATGGAAAACAAAAACACCCAACACCCTTTTGAGATCGCTCACACTAATTAGACGTATTAAAGTTTAATTAGCGGTACAGTCATTTCACCAGAGTTCTTTAATCAGCTTTGCTCTGCCGTTGTCAGTACAGTTTGACTAACCATCAGAGCGGCAGCATGTTGAACACACATTGAGAATATATGCAAACACTCACAAGCTTCCAGCACTGCGGCCTGCGTCCATTCGTCCCGCAGACAAACAGGCTGTCCTGAAACTTCTCAATGACAGTGATGACATTTTCACAGAAACCCTGAAACACAAGTCATCGTACATGAACGATATTGTTTATTCAAATTCATCATTTATGATCACGTCAATCTTTGTTCTCTAGTCACTGACCTCTTGGCACTGTTGTTTTCCTGTTGCCTTCAAAGGATATTTCTGCAGGGGGGAGATCAGTGTGTAGAAAAGTCAACATGCGTTTCCACATGACTTAAACTTGAGCTTTAAATGAGACATCATGAATTGAAACTAGATCTTCATCAATAAACTAATGTCTGAGGAAGATCAGAATCAGAAGAATCAGCTGGCCAGGTATGCTTACTGTACACACACAAGGAATTTGACTTTGGTGAAATGTGCTCTATTTGAACAAAATGTACAAGCATATTACACCTGAAGGCCAACGACCTTGTTTTCTTGTTTTCATTGCGTCTGAATAATATTTGAAATAGTTCAGTGATAGATAAAAATGAGCTGAAAACAACCCAAGATTTTTTCCCCCTGAGGTTTACTTTCTAAGGCATAGCCTGTTTCACTCAAGATAATGTCTCCGGCTCAAATGGTTACAGCTGCTCCATTAGTAAAATGAGATCTATGTCTGTCTGATGAAAGAGGATCTACAGTACGTCTGTCTTACAGCCAGAACAGTGGAAGCCCTGAGAGGCATGTTAGAAAAAAATAGAGATAGATATTCAGAGTTTCTCTCCCACAATTTTGACTTACTGTTTTAAACTTTCAAAGGCTCTGTGAGAAGGGTGTTAACTGGTTATGAAACAGACTGCAGTAAACACTGTATTTGACTCTAAAATACCAAACAAGACCATCAGCAAAAGCAATAATCATTTTAATTAAGTTACATTTTATTGCCTGACATCGCTGTGGCAGGGTATGTGTCAGAGGTGGCCATTTACAGCAGGCTGCTGAACAGCCTTTTTTTTCCCTCGGAAAAGATGCATTGTTATAGTGCGGAGGCATGCACTGAACAAAGTCAGCAAAAGTCAGCAAAAGAGAAGAGAGTAGCGCTTTGGCTCGGCGGGGGGGGGGGGGGGGGGGCAAATATCGACCAAACTGCAGGTTTCTGAAACAAGCTTTAAACAAGTGTAAAAAAAAAAGCATTTCCACATCAATGTTATCTTCTAGCTGACCTAATGTATCCATACACCTAATGGCAAATGAAATAGTCTACAGGATATTTGGGGTTTGTTGAGTGACTTTACATTAGTAGGATGTGATGTCTAAGACAATTGTCAACAGACACAAAGTCTACCAACCATTGCAGATATGAGTAAGAACTCGCTCCAGCTCACTCTGTCAGCTCATAATGTCTGTACATCTACATAGACACAGAATTCATCACTCTCATGAAAGATTTAATTTCTATTAGGCTATTAACCACAAGTTTAAGAATTGAACTACAAACATAAAACTAACTATAAGAGAGTCAGTCGACAAACTTTTTCCCACCAGTTTCCAGGGATGATTAAGGTATCTTTGACTAAATGAAAATAAAAACATATGTAATGCCTCTAGGGCTCCATAAAGAAGTTGTGTGATCCCTAACTTTAAAAAAAAAACACGAACAAGTACTCATGTGTTCCTCAGAGAAGATAAACTAAATTTGCCTGGGAGATTATGGGGTATGAACTGACATTTTTTTTTTTTTTACTGCTGTTATTTGTATGCAGTCCTGGTCTGTTTTTACTCCCAACAAAAGTGCCACCACTGGCAGTTAATAGACAGCTTCTCCAGTCTTGAAAGTACATATCAGCTGGCTTTGAAAGAACATCCTATAAGTGGGTGCTCCCAGACAGAGTAACAATAGGTCTTTGACGGCCATCTGGTACAGCACAGCATCTAATTATGACCCCCAGCTGCAGCACAAGGGCCATTTATGAACCATCCAGACATCAAGCAGGGAGCCCATCAATAAAACATGAGACAATATATTAAAACACTTGACTGGAAGCTACAGGGGAGTGCACATGTTTCAGACAGCACAATAAAGAAATGAAAATGAAAACAGTGTTACGTTTTAACTCTGCAAACACCTACCTCTATAACGTGATAGTCTTCCACATCAAGTTTTAACACAAAATCAGTCCCTCCAACGTACATTTCCTCAAAGTCCTTCTGGTATAAAACACGCTGTGGTTCTGAGCGACATGGTAATCAAATCCAGCGCTGATAATGTCTGAGGGAATGCAAAATGATAAGTTACACCTGACTGCTTTATCCAATATCGCAAGTCGCAGATCCAGACTGAGACTGTAGCGGGGTTACAACGGATTTAAAGACAGGATTAGCACAGAGATTTTCTAAACGTATATTTGAGACACTGAATGCATTTTTTTTTTTAAATTGCAAAACATCTTGGACTAAATCGTAATGTAAAAGAAGTAGCCTAACAGGTGATCGTTACCTTTGTTCAGAAGTCTTGGGTTGTTATTTATGCAGCCAAGAATCGGCGTGTCCTTCAAAACGACGCTGAGGACGATTTGAAAATCCCGAGCGAGACAAATATAAATCAGAACAAACTGCCTCATTTTGAGCCTCAGACAGCGACCGTTCATGTTTTCTCTATGATTCAAACTGACCTCTTATCGGTGTCTGTCCTCTAGTCCATTTGGAGGCGCTCCAGTGTCCGACTGCTCCGCCCAGTTTTGAAGCTCTCCCTCCCTATAATGAAAACTACACTGGCTAGTCAAAAAAGTTAAAAAGTCAAAAAAGGCTACAATGTGACTGGAAAAAAACACCAAACAGCATACAAATCAAACTGTTTTAGAAATAAGAAGGATGTTATATGCTGTGAGGATAACACAATTTGACTCTGTTTAAGAAACATAACAAAAGAATAACATTTTCAGCTGGTTAACAATGGCTATTTGTTTTTGATAGTAGGAAATGCAGTGGAAAAATAAACAGGAAACGTTTTTTTTTTAGACCTATGTAACACCTTCAAGATCAGATAGAATAGAATAGAATTACTTTATTGATCCCAAACTGGGAAATTGTGGAAATTGATGTCACCAAGAGAAAGCTAAAAATAAAAAATGAAATAGCTACAGACAGATTAAAAGAAAGACAAAGAAGAAGTCTAAACAAATGGAAAACAAAGTGACGTCTTCCTCCTCCACCTTCAGGAACATTTATTTGACTTTTGTGTCGTGAAATGCAGTTGATGTTATAGCCTACTTTTCATATTATTTGCTTTTGTTGTTTAGTTTTTCTTAGACCTACTCTTATCTTATTCAAAATGATGAAAATAAAAAAAGAAATCAAACAATCAATTTATAAACATGTAGCTATAGCTATATTACAAATATGAAACATTTTCCTTTTAAACACAAATCTACAAGAACCACAGCAAACCACACTCTCTAATCCTAAAGAGGAGACTGCTGCAGTCAGATCAGTTATTCATGGTTCTGCCTGCACAGCGCACCTCAAGGGCAAGAGCTGAACACTGACATTACCTGAAGTGCTTTTTTAAAAAGATTGATAGAACAAATGGGGCTTTCTGACTTGGAAAACAGACTATTTTTGTTTTGGATCTTCTGACTCATCTGATCTGAAATGTTTCCAACATGACTGACTTACTTCCTTATCCTGTAATAACATGTCCTTCAGGATTTTTTCCGACAAATAAACAAAAACTTCTGAATACAGTTGTAGGTGCAACATAAATTGTTTACAGCTTTAAAATTGTTTTTATTCAGTATATTTGCACATTTGAGAAAAGGATAAGTCCAGATGTCACAACAACAGTTTTTTTTTTAAAATTTGAATTGAGATGAAACATTGCAGGCATTATCAAAATATTATATAAGGAGCCTATACCACAACCTCAGATAACAGGGTTTAGCAGCATTACCTAGTATCCTCTGCAGCAGTCTCTGTTCACATCTTCGCAGCTTCTTGGTAACATGAGACTAAAAGCACATTAAAAGGAAATCAATGTATCCAACATCTTATTGGATTTCAGTAGAACACAGAGAGTTCCTGAACTGCCTGTGAGTCTTTCATGAGAAAATAATAACAACAAAGTACATCAAGCATTTAAAAATCTGCGGTGCTTCATAGCAGGGATCTTTGAGTCAAAAGAGAAAACAAAAATCCCCATTCTGTGAAAGCTGCTTCTATAAAAACAAAGCGGGCAGTCAAGTGAACAAGTGACTCTCAATGAAAGAGGGGACTTGTAATGACATATAATGATAAAACACGGCAAAGTAAGCCTGTATCTTTGAGCTGATAAAGGGAGAAACAGAGCGAGGTGCCATGCAACATCAGGACCATCAGCTGTGCCTGAAGGTACCGCCCCCTTTTTTCATCGTCCAATCAGACGCGAGGAGGCTGACTTCCTGTTTAGCTCTTCCCTGCAGCTCAGCTGACTTCCCAGCCATGGTAAAACACTTTAAAATAAGCGTATTATTTAACTCAAGTTTAATTTTAAACAAGCCATTGTATTTACAGGACGTTATCGTCGAATGCTTTACACACGTCTTATGTAACTGTTGACTTTAACTCTACGTATGTTGTGTCTGGTTTTCAGGCAGCTAGCAGGCTAAGCTAGTCAGTATCTCTAATGATGGAGTCATAATGTAGACTAGAATAAATAGGAGCGTTACATTTTTCAACATGTTTTGGTGTGACTTCTTCTTGTAGCGGTTCCGTTTCTGTGGAGATCTGGACTGCCCCGACTGGGTACTCGCTGAAATCAGCACATTGGCAAAGATTGTGAGTATTTACATCAGGTCCAAGACATGCACTATTAAGAAATGTTGTGTTTTAAAAGACAAGCTTAAACGTGTGTTGTTGTTTTTTCCCTTTCTCTACTTTCTCATGCAACAGTCAAGTGTGAAAACGAAACTCCTTTGTGCTCAAGTGCTGAAGGATTTGCTGGGAGAGGGCATTGATGTAAGAGTTTAATAGCCTTTGTTTTTCCACAATAAATCAATTACATGCTATTGTTCATGCAATCCACTCACTCTGATCGGTGCTGTCTTTTTTTTTCCCTTCTTTGTAGTATGACAAGGTCTCAAAGCTTACTGCAGATGCAAAGTTTGGTAAGTATAGTCATCTACTGGTACTGGGTGCAAAAAAAATAAAATAAATCAAGTATATGTTTTGAAAAAAGGTGATTGAGAATTAGCAGAAAAATGTAGGCTATGCAGAGAATGTCGATGGTAAAACTGTTGTACAATAAACACTCCACTATTTTATACTAATGTCCAATATTGAATATTATGACCAATGCTGTTAGATGAAGGGCGGCATTTAACTAATGCCAAGAAACTCCCCCAATGTGTTTAATGTGTAAATTCTAAATCTGTAGGGAAACTAGTATCTATAGCTCGCGTTTACATGTAGAGAGAAGAAAGTAGTATGAACAGACTAACATGGGGTTATAAAGATACATAAAAACTGAACATATCTCTTTGTGTTTATATTCCACTTTAGCTGTTACTGCATTGCAATTGTTGTGGATTTTTTCTGTTGGTAATGAAAGATCTCAAGTCAAAGTATTTTGTCTTTGTGTATTTTATTGCATATAGTAAAAAGTTCTTTTGCAAAAGGGGTAATCAGCTACAAAAGTAACATCAGTCACAAGTGCATCAAAGATTCCCGGGGCAGTCCCGGTTGCAGAGCATATTTATACTTTCACAGGGTGTTAGGTATATTGCATATACATGAGTGATACATCGTCATTGGTTTCAGCTTGCCTGACGATTTATCTAACACCAACAGAAAGTCCTTTGTTCAGAGGGCACTGATTTAGGGTCATGCTGTACCCAGATCCTGAGGAGAGTTCCTGTTGGAGATACAGACCGAGGCCAGTTTCGAATTGCTAAATGACGCACGAACATCCTAATATGTTAAGGTCAAACGAAGACAACAGACAGATAGGATTTTTCCACTACACAATCTAACTCGAATACTCTGACACTCAGTGCTGCATTGCATTTTTCTGTTTTATGACATGAATTCATGACATTAAATCCTGTTGCAGAGAGTGGAGACATCAAAGCTAGTGTGGCCGTGCTCAGCTTCATATTTTCCAGCGCAGCCAAGCATGATGTTGACAGTGAGTCTCTGTCCAGTGAGCTGCAGCAGCTCGGTCTACCTAAAGGTCAGTCCACTGGAGCTCCACATGGTTGGTTATTAAAAAGATAATTATGTTGGCTAATTTAAACTCACCCATGCACAGACTTCTTAACATTCTTCAATCTGTACACTGGTTGTAAAAGCAGAAAAACATGTGTGTGTGGAATCCTCTTTGTAATTTATTTAACTACTTGTAATGTTTGAATGGCAGCCAGAATTATTTATATTTTCTTTTTCTATTTTTATAATGAGTTGTGATACGAATATGAAGGACAAAGGGTGAATCATAACCTGAACAATGAACCCGTTTCAAGGTGCAGACAGGTCTCAAATCAATGCCTATTGTGTTATTTCTATGGTGTACAGCATTGTTTATCGCTTATTATGCAGCTCAAGTGCAGCTGTATGAGCAAGCATTGTCCTCAGCTGGCCCTTGAAGGAGACACAGTACATTCACAGTACATCAGGAACAATGCTGCTGGGTTGGCTGGGTGGGCTGCATTGCGACTCTTGTGAATAAATAGAATCAATTACATGGTTGAATCTATGCCAGAGTTGAAACTATATGTGAAGATATGAGCTTATTATACAGAGGTTAACATCTTGTAACTTTTAATGTCTTATTTTTTTCTGGTATTGGCCATTTTAATGTTGTAAAAAAAAGGTATAGTACTTTTACTTATAGTTTTAAGCATTTTTAGGATATCATGACTTAACCATACACACACATCTTTTCGTATAGAGCACACGACAGGGCTCTGCAAATCATATGAAGATAAGCACTCTGCACTGCAAGACAAGCTACGAGAGACAAGCCTGAGATGTGAGTACTTCTGTCTCTCTTGCTCTTTTCAAAGTGGAAGGCAAATTTAATTGCTGACTGATCCCTGGCTGTGGGCTGCCGTCTGCTATGTCATGAATTTTCAGTGGGGCGTTTGGAGACAGTGTCCTGGCGTGTAGACTACACTTTGAGCTCCAGTGAACTGAGGGAGGTGAATGCACCAACGATTCAGCTTAAACTGCAGGCACGAGGAGCTGAGTCAGGCTCCACCGAGACCACTGTTGTTTCTGTTTCCGCTGACAAGTTCAGAGTCCTGCTTGCTGGTAAATTCTGCATCTTGTCAAATATTTTCTCAGAGGAGCTTCCATTTAAAACAATTTGGCGATCCAGATTCATGTTATGATCAATATTTTCTTTTATGTGTTTCCACAGAGCTCAAACAGGCCCAGGCAATGATGAATGCACTACAGTAAAGAGGGGGGGACAAGTCAGACCACTGCACTAAAATGAGCTGATAGGCTGCCTAAGTGCCAGACTCACATCTTGTACAGTGAAATATTTGTATGATTAAAGTAATTTCAAATGTCATATAAATGGCACGTATTGACTGATATGAAATTGTATTTTTCTACCACATTAATTGTAGTGGAAATGTGTAAGAGTGGGTGATTTGTCACTTAAACAAGGCAACTAAATGGACCATTTTTTGTACAATGTTGTAAAGCAATTCACGCTTTTCTATTTGAATTATGTTGAAAATGTGTTTACCTTCATATGCATATACATATCCAAATAAAATGTTGAACATGGCGGATTTCTAATTCTTCTTAGTTTCTGTAGCGCCATACATCCCTGCACTGGCCTGTGATGAAAGTCTATTGTTTGTACAACGGCGTTTGCTACAAATCTGCAGTTTATTTGGCTGTTTTCGAAGAATTACGAATACACGAGAATCCCGTTGAGAAAGCCACACATCTCGCGAGATTTGTTGAGATTTGAGCGAGCGCAACACTGGTTGTGTTGCACAAGATGTTTGGTAACACGCATGTTATGAAAGCGTGCGGTTTGTGCCATGCCTTACCTGGGCATCGTGGCAGACCTGCAGACAGTTGAGAAATCTAAAAGAAACTCCGCAGCAAGCAACTCATTAATCAGCGCTGGAGTCTGTTTCTGTTTGATTGGGTACGTTGTTTCCATTCCTGCAGCTTAAAGGAGACGTAAACTCATTTCTCTCTTTTTTTTTTGTACCAGAGTGTATTCAGATGGACGCTTTCTTAACTTATGCAGTAAAAAAAAGTTAATATAAAGTTAAGACACTCATCTTTACACGTCATGTCTGTTGGTTTTAAAGCTTGATGTCTCATTGTGGTGTCTGTGGCAGGATGTTTGTAACGTTGTTATGGCAAAACATTATATGTATTTCGTTAGCTTTGGTTTAGATGTGAGTCATGATAAGAAACTTTGGGTGATTTAACCAACAAATACTAGTCCTCAGTGTCTTTATATGGCTCTGGATGTTTGATTTTGTGCTGTAGTCTTTGCTCATCTGCCTTTACACTTTATATTTGCAGCACTGATTGATTTATTCCTCCAACAAAATGCCTGAGGGACCAGAGCTGCACCTGGCCAGCCTCTATGTGAACAAAATGTGTGAGGGAGTGGTGTTCACAGGGCAGGTCAGAAAATCTGAAGTCAGCAAGAGTCCTGATGTGCCCTTCACCTGTGACGCCTATCGCATCACAGCCACTTCCAGAGGGAAGGAAGTGAAGCTCACGCTGACACCCATGAAAAGTGATGGACCGAAGCACAGAGTGAAGGCAGGGCAGGTCGACCAGTCAATGGACATAGTCTTCCGTTTTGGGATGTCAGGCTTTTTCCGCTTCACCACAGAGGATGAGATGCCAAAACACTCCCACCTGCGTTTTTACAGCGACGAGAAGCCCTGCAGGGTGCTGAGCTTTGTGGACGCACGAAGGTTTGGCAGCTGGCAGCCCAATGGGACGTGGCAGCCCAGCAGAGGGCCTTGCATCATGTTTGAATACAAAAGCTTCAGGTTAGTAATACTTCTTGAGTGTCAGCTGCGCAACCAAATGACCACTGCCACACTGACCTGGTAATTATTTTTGCAGGGAGAACGTTGTGTCACACCTGGCTGACCACGCCTTCGACAGACCAATCTGCGAGGCTCTGCTGAATCAGAAGTACTTCAACGGTGTCGGGAACTACCTGAGGGCTGAAATCCTTTTCAGGTCATACACATGCACAAACATGTGTAGAATCCAGCAACACAATATAGACAAGCATTACTGATGCACTAATACTGACCCTTTTCATGGGATTGGGTGTAAACTATACCTCAATGATCAGCGTTTAATGTAAAGCTGTAGTTTACCATTATTTATGTCATGGGTTGATCCTGTTTTTCTTGGATTCTGTAAAATTTGATTTAAAAATAGCAACAAAAAAAGCCCATTACATTTCTCCTTCACATTGAGAACCTGTCAGCAGTTTAGTTTGGCATTTTTTGACTAAAATAATTGAACATTAGTAATATAGTTGCCAATTAATTTGTCATATTCATTTAATGGTTCAAGCTATGAATTACCAGTTTCATCTTCAAAGTCATTATTAAAGCCAGAGTTTAGACAACATTGGCCTCACGTGACCTTTCATAGAAACAACACCAGTGAGATTATCCAGATGTTGAATTTGGAATTAAGGAAGGGGGGGATATTTAGCGGTATTAAAAACTATGACCAGCAGACATTTTTGTCAAGGTCTGTTTCCCTCAGACTTTCTTACAGATCTTTGTTTCTTACTTCCCATGGTGAGGCATAATAATTCAGACTCCCTTCTTAAACAAAAGAGCCTTTTAGTTTTCTAAAGAAAGGACCTTTTTTTTTTTTTTTTTTAAGGTTGAACATCCCACCCTTTGTGCCGGCCCGGACTGTACTGGAAGGCCTTGAGTCAGACGATTCAAGTGAAAAGGAGAGGCCTGTGAAAAATGAGAACCCGGACAAAAAGGTGAAAGGAGCCACACATAAGAACTTTTTTTTGAAAACCACCAGAGGCTGAGTTTTTTTATTTCTAACATTGCTTCTCTTTTCTCGGGGTGCAGCAGAAGTCAGACAGAGCGAAACAGATAAAGGTGAAAGAGGAGACAGGTGACCTGCTCAGGCTGTGTCATACCGTGCCTCTGGAGGTCGTGAACATGGGTGCGTCATCATGAATTCACAGCCTCATTCATTCAAAAAGTCCCCCACACTCTTAACTTTCATTCTCAGTCAGAACCTTATCTGTGTATCAGAGATAATAACAATGAAATCCAATCAAATACTTCCTGTTTTGACACATTTATCAACCAGGTGGAAAAGGCTACGATCCCCAGAAGCAGGACTACTCCGACTTTTGAGGCTTGGCTTCAGTGTTACTACGTGGACGGGATGAAATCTATCCGAGACCACAATGGCAGAACTATGTGGTTCAAAGTGAGTTCTGTATGACCTTTTATCTAAAAGCTACATGAAGCAGGATTTATTGGTTGCTGTTTGTAAACACAACAGTCCCAGTTTGCCTCCTCCCTGGCTCAGTGAGTGAGGGAGTAGAGCGAGCTTGAAATGAATGTAAGGAGCCTTACATACACTTTTTGGATTCTAATACTATTGCTCTCTTTTTTCAGGGAGATCCAGGGCCTATGGCACCTAAAGGTATGCAACACTTTGAGCACTTCATATAAAATGCATCTAATAGTTAATGCATCTAAACCAAACCATTTGGTCTCTCACTGCAGTTTCAAAGTCACCCAAGAAAAAAAGTAAAGCAAAGAAAGAAGACGACCATGATTATACAAACAAGAAAAAGGTATAAACATTTCATGATTTGCTAAAAAAAACCAAAAAAAACTCCCTGAAATGTAAAGAATAAACTCTTAATGGCGGTTTCATTTCATCAGGTTGCCAAGAGTCGCTCTGCAGGCGGTACAAAGAGAACAGCCATCAAAGAGGAAACTGTTACCGAAACCTCCCACAAAGAAAAAAAGCCAGAGACAGATGCCGGATCTAAAAGAAGAAAGACGGAAAAAAAAAAAGAAAATTCCCCCCAGGATGGAAAGACCTCCGCTGCACGTAGGAGGAAGGTCAGCAGTGCAGAGCCAAACATTTCAGGTGAAGTTAGGAATAAGCTCTTGTTATTCTTTTTTTTTTTTATAGTGAGGAGTTTCATTTTCAAAGCTTTGAGAGGCAACTTGTTATCCATTTTCTAATTATGAAATGAGAAATCTTTTTCTTCGGTTTTCTGGCTGTAGAGAAGGTGAAAGGTTTTTCCAGGATATTCTTTAGGAGTTAGTTCAACTTTATTATTAACCCATGACATGAAAATTAACTGGGTTAATCAGTAAGTGGAAAGTGTAAGTTTTTTCAGGATTTTCTTAGTAACCCATTTTACCTACTACAGTATCTGTAATGGGGGGGGGGGAGTAACTTCTCTTACTGGTTAATTTTTATTTTCAATGTTAAAATGTTAACACAAGACATTTCTTTGTCTATAAATTGTGTGTTATCACGATTGTACTGGCCAAAGAAGTTTTAATTTGACAGTGTCACGTCATGAAGAGAGAGAGAGAGAGAGAGAGAGAGAGAGAGAGAGAGAGAGAGAGAGAGAGAGAGAGAGAGAGAGAGAGAGAGAGAGAGAGAGAGAGAGAGAGAGAGAGAGAGAGAGAGAGAGAGAGAGAGAGAGAGAGAGAGAGAGAGAGAGAGAGAGAGAGAGAGAACAAAAGATTTAGATCAGACTTTGAAAATGGATCCCTTTTAAATTGGTTTCCTCAGTTGCCCTTCAGCGCCTGGGTATGTCCTCAGAGTGTTAATGTGACTGTTGTGTTTGTTGCAGGTGCACAGACTCGCAGTGGAAGAGTGACCAGACAGAGCAGCAAAAACCAACGGGAGAACCCTCTATAAAGGACCATTTCTATGTTTTTATACTCTTCAATATGATTTTTTAAACAATACACGTTTCTACAAAAAAGCTGTGCAAATGTTTATTTATTTTTTTAAAGATTAGTCTTTAGGCTTTTTTGCCTTTTAGTGGATTGGACAGTGGATAGTCAGAAATCGGGAGAGAGGAGTGGGGAATGACATTCGGGAAAGGAGCCACAGGTTGGACTCGAACCCGGGCCGCCCACTTGGAGGACTAAAGCATCTGTATAAGGGGCGCAACTTAACTGCTAGGCCATGTGTGCAAATTTGTATTGATTTGATGGCAGGCTCACATTCTCTTAGTGATCTATGAAAAATTATTCTTTTCATATTAGTGTCCTGATAAGTTGCCAAAGGACCATCTCCAGATGCTATATTTATTAGATTTGAGTAGTTTCTACCAATAGGACAAAAATGCTGTCCTAATAATCAGTGTGTGTTTACCCTGAGTCTCTGTAAAATGCGAATTTACAAGATGAGGAGAAGCGACACAATTTGAAATGGGCTGAAGTTGATGGTGATTCCCTCTGACGTCATGTGTGCTTGCATGGAGGGGTCCGCTCTCTCCAACAGATCACAACTGTGTGGGAGGGGAGGAAAAAAAAAAAAAAAGTCTTATTTTTTGAAGACAACACCACATACAAGATGCCAGACAGCAGTAAACTATAAAAAAAGAAAGGAATACACACTGCCAAGCTTCTCGGACTGGAAGTGCGGTGCAGAGCGTTGCAGCCACGTGACTCCCGTGCGCCTCATAGAGACGGAGTACAAGTGCCCCCTTCCTGTCCTCTGCCTATCATCGTAAATAAAGTAAACATCCATTAATGGTCTAGAGTGCTGCAAGGCAAGCTAGGTCAAGCTCTGTTTTTAAAGGTTCACCTTTTTAATGGTCTCAAGGATCACGGCTGTGGTGCTGACGGAAAAGGCACTCCAGGGCTCGGTGTCAGGAACGCACCGGATCGACCTCAGAGGGAAGTTGAGGTTGTAGGCGCTCTGGATGACGGAGGCATCTTGGAAGGATCCTGAATCACAACACAGGAGATTAAAATACAAGCAAAGTAGGACGGAGTTTTAGGGTGTAATGAGAGCATTTTGTAGTACACTACCTGAGTGTGGCATAATTGCATAGGTGAAACGATGAGTCCCCATGTCAGCGTTGGCGTCTGGAGCCTTTGGAGCTCTCAGTCTAAGAGACACATCTGGTGTTAGAAGTACAAACTATCTACATTCAGGTAACATGAAGAGTACTGTTTGTTTAACAGAGGTGCTGAAACAGCGGAGAATCTCACAGGGACAGAGTCATAGTGTTCTTGTGGACTGAGTAGCCGTATTTGCAGTCATTCAGGAGTGCAACTCCAAAGTTGTGCTCGGACAAATCCGCCCATTTGTGACCCCAAACCTGAGAAGGAAACCGTGTTGATAAAACAGCATTGACAACATCAAATGTTTCAACAACTTAAACTCTTGTTACAATGACTTCAACGAAATTGATTTGAAAACACACGAAAACACAATGGTGTTTTTTTGTTTTTTTTTAGATAAACATGAAGCTTTTCTTAAATTGTGTTTTCCCATACAGGAACTTCCTCCAGGTAATAAGGACTTAAGGAGGAATTAGAACAATTTCTAAACAACTTCCCAGGGACTTCATAATAATGCCACATGCTTCCTGCTTCTAGATTAGAACTTTCTGAAAGTACAGGGACATTAGAGTGTTCCTGGAAGCAATGAACAATCCCTATTGGTTGAAAATTGGCAGCTTTTAGCAAACTCCTTCATATGTCAGCAGACTCATTTGCCTGATCTTCACGTGACATTAGATTTAGGTTGAAACACATACGACAGTAGGCAGGACAAACGTTTTAACCACCTTGAAAGAAGTTTCCCCTGGCATTACAATTCTGGGATGCTTTGGTGAAAACGCAACCTTAGAGACGATTAAAAAGGCTTGTACCTCAAATCTGGCCCAGTCCCATGAGGTGTTCCTGTGTGTGGGTCTTTGCAGATGGCCAAACTGGATCTCATAGGTGGCGTTGGGGCTGTGTACCCGCACAGGGAACTCCACCTTAAGAAACTTGTGTGACTCAGCCCATTTCACCTGAAATTGAGAGATATTCTGTTTCATGGCCGTTGAAACAATTTTGAACTGTGGGATCAAAGATTTATAGATACACACCTCTGTGTTGAACTTAATGTAAGGACACATGGCGTCCATGACGATCTCCTGTGTGATGGTGCTCTTATCACTGATCCTGAGGGTGAAGCTGACCCTGCCTCTGAGGGGGTCTGAGGACAGCACATGGGCAGGCTGCACCACCTCCAGCACTGGCTTCCTACGGGGTCAACTCCCTAGGTTTTAGGTTTGCAGCCTCACATCTATAATACTTGCAAAACAAGCTGATACAGAGATATTTGACTTAGCTGTTCAAAGATACATTTCACTGTAATGACTGACACCTTGTCTGCAGGTGGTAGTCCATGACATCCCAAGCGTCCCAGTAGAGAGGGACATCATCAAACATGACAAACTGGTTCCCATGACATCCCTCAGAGATGGCTTCTCTAAAACTGAGTGGTAAGGCAGATATTAATTGATAAATAATGATACTTTCGAAGAAGATAGAAAGATATTCACGAGTAGTTCTACAGTACCTGTTTGTATCGATCAAACACAATGACGCCAACGTTCCATCTTTGTTTATAACAGCCTGTAAAATCCTGTTCTCCATGACGACAGTGCCGTCAGCCTGTATGAGCGCACAAAATCTCCGTTGGCCAAATGTAATTACATGGTAGCTAAATGAATTGAATGCTCTCTGGATGTGACACAAACCTGAACGGTGACAGAGACAGGAGCCACAGGGTGAGTGTCTTTGACCGGACACAGACCCAAGCTGGGCACATTCACCAGAGCTGCAGAACAACAAACACCACACATAGGTCAGATATACAGTTGTAGATAGGTAGACTTCAAGATATAAATATCTTACATACCCAGACCAGGTTTACCAGCACCATCTTCTCTTTGGACGACCTCATGGCGCGTCCATGGCAGAGAGTTGAAAACACCAGCAGAGTCTCCTTTTGACCCCAAGGCGCCACAGGCATCAAGTAGCAGTGTAGCTCCATCCCTACGAATATCTACAACACAGTGTATATTGACTGTTCTTTTTATTTTGCAAAACAGCAAATCAATATGTCTGACTTTAATGGCCGGCTACTGGAAACTGTACCTTCATAATACCTGAGTGCATCCTCCACAACCAGCTCTATACAGCTGCCCGGAATCACATCATGAAACTGGTTCAGGAGAAGCAGCCTGGAAAGGAATAATGGAAAAAAGAGAAGTGTAACAATAGCAAGGAGTATTTATTTATATAGATTTATCATTGAACTAGAAAATGTGTGTCTTGACCTCCAGAGCTCCTGCAGTTTTTCCACAGGATACCGAAATGTCCTGTCTCGACACAGCGCCAGGCTGCTGGCTATCTCGACGTCATGAAGAAGCGTCTCACACTGACGGTTCCCTCGTTTAATCTGGAATCAGTAGAGCAATTATGAAAGCAACTGCATTAAAAAAAAAAAAAAAACACCCCAATGTTCAATCATTTCACCAATGACCTGTTTTAAAATGTATCATCCTGCATTAACTGTTTCAGACGTCACAAATGTCATATCTACTTTCTGAACAAGCACGACACTTTTACTCCTACTTTAGGTGAACTTAACAGGAATCTTTTATTTGTGTTGTTGGCAGTTATTCCTCCCTCCTGCTTATACGAAACAAACAAAGGGAAGGACAAATTCAAAGCAAAATTGTGCATCAGTCAAAAGGTCAACCTGAGGAATTGTTTTGATGGAGACTTAAAAATGTATTGTTGTGCATTTAAAAAATATTTCAAAATAAGGTGATACACAAATTTAAAGATGAAGATATGAACATACTGGAAGTATTCATGAAAAGATTCAAACCTATGGTTATGTCTTGTTTAGCTTCATTCTTGTTTAGCATGAAATTGGGTCAAATGCTTGAAACTCTGTTCTGTCTTGTTTAGCTGTGACTGAAACTCACTAATTGCCTCAAAGAACATCTTGTAAAAAAAAAAAAAAAAGGGTGCGTACAATAAGCCTGGTGTTACTTTTGGAAGATTAGTATTCAAGAGAGTCAAGAGATCGGATGTCCTCCTGAAATTGTGACTAAGGGGGTTTCTTCATCTACCTGCGCCTGTGAGGTGTAGGTGCCATTGTGCAGCTCCAGGAAGAGCTCTCCAGTCCAAGTACAGAGCAGAGCTGAGTCACTTTGAAGCTGAGAGAAAAGCCTGTGGGGGTTCGACGTCTGCACCCTGGGAAACCAAATGAATAAAAGATGGAAGTGACCACACACTGACGTCTCTGGCTACAACTCTCTTATTCATTCTGACTAAACGGTGACTGGATTGACACGTATTGTAATTTAACACAGTAATGACATCATCCGACATCACTCACATCCCTGTGTAATTTAACAAGCTTGAATGAGACTGCTGCCTACGTGCAAACACACCCTAATGAAATCTTAACAAATCCCACAGTGCAGGAAGAGTGGTCACAAAGTCATGACTTCATTGGATGTGATTCCGCCTCAGTTTGGGCTGAGCTAAATTGTGGGACAGGAACTGACTTGGGAAGTCCATCTGTGTCCTGGACCCGCTGCAGTCTGTCCAGCATGAGCTGTGTGGGTCCGCCCCCACCGTCACCAAAACCAAACAGCACTGCGCTGTGGTTGGCCCTGCCCTTGTCTTTGTTGTTCTTCACAGTTTTCACCAACTGTGGGCACAGGAAACCCAACCGACTATCAGCTTGGGCAGAATTGTAAATATTCCTCTTGCATACTAAACATTCACAAAGTGAAACAAAAAAAAACACAAACTCACGTCTTCAACCTTGCCCTTCATTTCGTAGGAATTTCCCGGTGGGAAGTGAGTTAAAACCTTGGAGCCATCCAGACCTTCCCAGAAAAAGGTGTTGTGCTTTGGGAAGGAGAAATCAAAAATGAAAATTAAAAGGTTTCCACTAAGTGTTTATTTGAAAACTGTTTTTGGTTGCAGTGCCTACAGGGAAGGTGTTGACCAGGTTCCAGCTGAGCTTCTGTGTCAGGAAATTGGAAATGCCGCAGCCCTGCATTATTTGAGGAAGTTGGGATGAGTAGCCAAATGTATCCGGCAGCCAGAACTAAAAACGGAGACGCGATTCTAGGATTATTCATTTGTAATGTCAAATTGGTCAAAAATGTAAAGCAGCAGGAAACACATACAGAGATCAACAGGTTATGCGTTTTTCAACCCCATACCTCTTTGCAAAGGATCCCAAACTCTTGGTTAAAGAATCGCTGGCCCTCCAGGAACTGCCGCACCATAGACTCACCTGAAGGCAGGTTACCATCCTGAAAGACAAAACATGGAAATAATTAGCTCATCTCAGCTGAAGATATCATGAATGTAGTACGATTAATTTAACAAGAAATACCTTCGGAATGTAAAATGATTTACCCTGGAAATATAAAGGACTGCGTGTTTGATAACGATAGATATTTAACCAAGATATCATTGATAACAAAGAAGATAAATCATAAGAGACATTTAGAATATGGAAAAAATGACATCATCTAAGACAGATAAATATGTTTTGAGTCGTAAATGGATGATGTATGACAGAGTGTGAAATGTTTAAAGACTATCATCCAGATACAGGATCCGTATACCCCCTTATTTTATTTCAAAACATGGCTCTTTTATTCCTGTCTCATGTTTAATCATTACCTTGTGTTTCTCTTTACCCATCTTACTGTGTCTTTTTTAGGTTAACATTATTATCTTCTTTTGTGCAAAATCAAAAAACAATAAACAAAAGGCTTCAACATTAAGTACACAAGATAAAAATGACTTGCAGGTGAAGGCTCACCATTTCCACCCACGTTCCCCCGACTGGAATAAACTGTCCTTTCTTGACGTAAAGCTGAATCTGCGAGAAGAGTCCGGGGTACCAGCTCTTCACCCACTGGAACTGCTGTGCCTAGAGGTCAGAATTCAAGAGGAAAGCTCAGACTTTCTGAACCTCCTTTGCGGCTCACGCAGGCAGAGTTGCAATTAAAGAGGAACTACCTGAGAGCAGGTAAAGACAAAGTCTGGGTTCTTCTCCATTAGACGGATCACTGTCACCCAGCTGCGGCCACATTTGCGAATGGTCTCTTCATAGGGCCAAAGCCAAGCTGCCGACAGAGCCATCAGTTTTAAAGAACTAAGAATAGTATTGTTCAGTAGACAAAAAAGTAATAATGCAAGGTTTGTATGTGTAACTCTTATCAGTTTAGAGGAGAGTATTATCATTTTAGAACCATTTTGCTATTACATTTATATGGATTCTTAGTTTGTTGTTTGATTTAAAAAAAAGAAAAAACAAGAATAAGATTTATGGGAACTAAACTTTTTGTCAGCTGAAATAAAACAAAAATAAATCAAACGTTTACCTGAGTCTATGTGGCAGTGACCCATGGCGTGCGCCGTGTGCTGGCTCTCTCCGTTCTTCTGGCTGAAGAAGTTGTGAGCCAGGCTGCGAGCTTTCGGAAAAGTGCTCGGGTCCGACGGGTCGCAGAGATTCACCATCTCATTGACAGCGAAGAGCGCCTGGTAGCCTCGCTGCTCTCCCTCTCCGAGTTCCTGTGAAAAGATTTGAAATAGATCAATATTTTCATTCAACTTCAAATAAAGTCAAAGGACGTTGCAACGTGTAACTTTTTTTTGTGTAACTCTACCTTTACAATGTCAATCAGCATCTCAAAATCAGTCAGCAGCTCACGTACGTCTCGGTTCAAAACCACCAGCTCGGCTTTTTGTACAGAAAACTTCCTGTTCGGATCTGGTGCTGCAATAAAGGTCCCCTGACCAGCGCCAAACAGCCCATTACAGGCAACCTCCACATAAAGGGTGAGACTGAAAAGAAGACAAAATATGAGGATTTTAGCTCATGGCAGAAAAAAAGATCAGTAGGACATTTAAGTTTGAGAAGCAGATATTAACTTGTAGTTATCTGACCTGTGTGGCTCGTCATCTTTCAGACAGTCAGACAGGATGTAACATGTCTTTTCTCCCTCTTTACTCAGGCCCTAAAATGCAAAATGCTGCATGTCTCAATGAAAACATGTTTTTGGGTTTAGGAAATCATTTCAGCTCTTTAACATAATCCCCTTTGCATGTGCTGCGCAATACCTGAACTGGCTGCTCATCTCTCCAAACCATTGCCTCTCCATCACTTTCCCACAGGAGATGAACCTCTTTCCCTCTCCAGGACTCGGGGATTTTCAGGGTCACTTTGAACCAGCATGTCCACCACCTTCAACAAGCAATCAAAAAGCTTGGGTTGATGCCAAGATCAGTAAGGGTAAGTAAAGATCTGAGGTTGATAAAAAAAAAAGAAAGAAATCGCATTATATTACTTACGTGGGTCCAAAGGTATCACCCACTTTATGAGGTGCAAAGATCTGCTGGGAAGCGTCCAGGAATGTGATCCGTTTTGAGGACAAGAAGGAGGCGATGGACTCCAGCGGGCAAGAGTCTCCATAGAGTCTGCAGAGATGAAATCATTCAAGAAATCTATTCAAACTCTGTGAAATAGCCTCAGTAAATCACAACCTACAATCAAGACTCCAAATCTCTATCTTTTTATGTTGTTGCATGAGACCCAGACTTGGATAATGAATACTTTATCATTCACATTGTTTAAGATGCTCTGAACAGGTCTGATCCATGTACAGTACAACATTTCTTACACTTTAAAATGCATGTATTCAAATAAATCATTTTGGACATCAAATGGAATTTTTTTTTTACCTTAAACCTTAATAAATAGGACGAGAGCAGTTTAAACTTTTTTGTGGAATACTTTTTTTTTCATGACACTACATTTCAGCGTGTGTACATCTAGAAAGTCAGTGCAGTCAGTGTGATAGTATGGCATAACAACCCTGTGACGTATGAAGAAGCCTTACCGTCCTCTCAGGTTGCAGTCGGTGAAATAAATATCGGAGATAAATTTCTCTGCTCTTTCGAGAAGTGTTCGCCTGTTTTTCAGCACAGGCTGATGATACATGACGAAAATCTTCACAAATACACCTGCAAGTTTTCACAACAGCCAACACTTAAATCACGGAAGGTAAACTTAATTTTACGGACGACCCGGAAGTGATATGTGTTTGTTGTTGTTGCTGTACTTTTATTACTCAGCCACTAGAGGGCGGAGCTGTATAATAACCATAGACTGTAAAATAGCCTGACAACAATGGACTGTTTGCTTGAAACAGAAACTCTTAGTTCTCAGGAAGGACAGGTGAACTGCTTCACCTGTGAGAATATTTTTTAACTGTCCAGTTGGGCAAAATCATGTAAAACAAACCTAGTTATTATTATGTTTTTAAGATTTTATGAATAGGTATTGAAGGTCAAGCAACTTTAGATCATGTCAAAATAGGAATAAAATACTATAGGACATATATAATAAGACCTGTTATTTTTTATTTTTTTAAGATTGTTTTTTGGGCATTTTTGCCTTTATTTGAGAGAATACACTTATATTTATAGCATTTATTTATATTTATAGCATCCCATTAATCCAGCCATCCATATATACCTAATAATTCACTTTTTTTAGTCTACATCTGTAAATTTTGTAATTACTGTACATAGCACAGACTCTTGCACTTTCTGCTTATTTGCACTTCTGGTGAGATGCCAAACCTCATTTCGTTACTCTATATGTGTAATGACAATAAAGTTGAATCTCATCTCATCTCATCAGACAGTGGATATAGTTGGAAACTAGGGAGAAAGAGATCAGGGAATGACATGCGGGAAATGAGCCACAGGTCGGATTTGAACCTGAGCCGCCCGCCTGGAAGACTACAGCCTCAATGCACGGGGCACGCGCTCTAACCACTGCGCCACCAGCGCCCCAGGACTGGACTTGTCATTTACAAATATACAATGTAAGACAGTGACAGTGAACTTAAAAACACACATACTTTATTTTCAATTTAGACACTGCAGTTATATACACTTACTATACATAGCCTAATGAAGAAACTAAAAACAGATTCACAATTAAATGACTAATTCATCTGAAAAAAATGTCTACTGTTTTAACACATGTAGTGAAACTTTTCTTTTTAAGCAACAGTGTAACAAGGCCTCAAGCAGCAATGACTTGGTAAATATTGTTCTGCAGGAGGCCCTACTGTAATACTTCACTGTGGACAAACTGTCATTCCTCATTTGTAACAGGTACATTGTTTCATCAATAATGTATATCTAAAGTCTGATGTTCTATATCCTAAATCATGCAATTACTGTACACTCAACCTAAACCCAGGAATATCTCAAATGAGCAGACGGGACTCTATGAATGAAATAGATGCATGATAAAGTGGCCAAGGGAAACCCAGTGAGGGTGTCATGATGATGTAATAGCTGTCCTACGGTTCTGTAAAGTGAACTGAACAGCCTCTCAGGAGTGCTGGGGAGTTAGTCTTGTGATCAGACTGGCGGACAGGGGTTATAGGTCAGCCCACGTGCAGCCTGAAAACAAAAAACCCTTTTTTCCCTCAGCATTATTCACATGCAGAGAGCTGTGTGTTTCTGTGTTTGTATGCAGCTATGCGCCCTTTTATTATAAAGTCCATAGAGAGGTTCTAAGTACAGGGTTGGTGAAAATGTGGTATAGCCCATCCCTCTCAGGCCACCCTACCATCAGGGATGTCTGTCAACTCCTGTCCCCCTATTGTTTGGAGTGTGGTCTGACTTTCCACCACAACCAGGACAGCCAAAGGGAACGGGTGCCATGCTCGGACTTGACCTATGGTTCTTACCATTTCAGATCTGGCATCACTGTGATTGCCTGGAAGCGTCTGTGTGGGGCTATCCTTGAGAAACTGACCACATCACGTCCGATAAATAAAGGGGGATTAGAGAGGACAGCTGTTCCTCTTGCTCAAAGGAAGTACTCACAGCATAAAACACCCTCCGGCAAGGAGGCCTACCATGTTCTGCCGGCCACAACACAGCAAGAAGTCCAGGCTGTGGCTTGGGGAAAAAAAGTGCTTCCGAAAAACCCAAGAGCTGCATGCAAACTCTATTATGAATAAAGAATAAGTGATCAAAGGAATGATGGCGTCAGGGTCTTGTTTTATCACGTTCCCTGGAGATGAGGTAAAGAAGAATGAGCTATACTCTCGAGCCGTACTCGTCTTTTTCTCCAATGTTGTATCCTGCACCTTTGTTTTTGTCCTGTCGAGGTCCAGCTCTAAGAAATAAAAAATAAAAAACACACCGCATTCAGAACAGGATTACATCATCCATGCATTTTCAGGCTTGAAGAAATTGCTCACCTCTACGTGATGAGTTCTTCAGTTCAAGTGTTAAAAGTGAGAGGCGTCTTTTCCAACCACAACTTTCAATTTTCACACAACAGTCAGCCATTTCCCCTAAACCGAAGATGCAACAGAGAGCTGCGGCTTCTGACTTTTTCAGGGTAAGGAAACATACATTCACATCTTTAGAAGGTGAAAGACAGAGGCTGAAAAGGTACATTACAAGATGGGAGGAACGTTTAACACATTTTAACGCAGGAAACCTGCCACTAACCCAGACTGCCACGATGTTTCTCACCTCCAAAAGAGGATTGTGCATCATTAGCATAAATGAACAGCGAGAAGTGATATCTGCAGATGAGCAGACAGTTTCAGGGTTTTACCTTTGCAGTGCCTCTTATTTACATATTTCATTGCAGAGATGTCTCTTTTCCTCAAGTCTTATTTGAATGAGTGGTTTATATTGTCTCCATACTTAACAGGAAATATGTATTTGACAGAGAAATGTACATTTTATTGTAAAAGTAAAAGAACACAATAAGTGTGTAATATCCCTAAAGGTTTAATTCTGGAGGAAATTATCTCCCTGAATTCTTTGTTTTTAGTTTTTCCCTATGTGTAGACGACAGAAATGTCTTTCTTTCTTTTTACTTACTGTATTTAAAAAATCTGAGCTTGATCTTTCAAATACGCAGACCATAACTCTGCACTTTACATTGTTTACACAGGAATGTAGACGTTGTAAATGCTTAAAACATAAAAGAAAAAAAGAGGTTCCTCTCTGGTTCAGATCAAAATGTACCAAAAACAAAAAGGGTGAAAGGGTCACACAGAGACACGAAGTCAAGAAAAAAATACTCTCAGGGAACTGCTTTATAGAAACATTAACTACATGGCATCATTTCAGCCATGTCACCCTGTGGAGGGCATAAGTACATCCAAACTAACAAGGTCATAAGTCCTATAACGTCCTCAGTTCTTTTTTTTTTAAAGCTCACAGATGTTTGTGTATCAGTTAAGGTTTACGGTTCATTCTTTAAATATCAGCTGCAATTGTCTGATGTTCACAGAAAGGGAAACCCTGAACGCTTGACCTCTACAATAAGAGAATAGAGTTAGGTAGGTAGATTGAACGTCCTAGTTGAACAGCTAGTCCGGCTCAACAATCCTAAATAAAGAGTTAACTGCAGAGTGTGATTTGAACAGGCCAAACTCTGGTCTTGCTGGTTGTTTATGCCTTACCTTTTTTGTCTTATTAGACAGCATATTAAAGACATAATGAGAACAACTCCCAGTGCAGAGCCCACCAATATGGGAACCAGTAAACCTGCAGAGCATGATGCAACAGAAGAAGACATCAATATTATAGGATCATTCTTCTTTATGGTTTCATATTTGGGCTTGAATGTGTGCATATGTGTGTATAAAATAATAAAGATGTACAAAAAGAACAAACACCAAAAACAACTTTGAACCAGACAATCCATTCAAACATTTAGACCAAGTTAAAGTGTTTTAGCAATACGTTAATATTCACATTTATTCGATTAATAGTTTAGTTTAGTCTTAATTAATATTAGTGATATTGCAGCAGTTGTTCCTTTCCTTTATAAACTGGATAACTAGCTTGACTTTAGACAGAGAAAATGTGGTTTTAATCTGTTAAAGAACTAAAGAAGGTGTCAGTGGTCCTAGAGTTGAGGAAACCTCGGTGCTGCATGTGACGTTTAAGAGAACATAAAACAAAAAGTGATGACGTTTAAAGGTACCAAAGCAACATACCAGTGTTTATCCAAGATTCGTCAGCTGAGTATTGAAGAGAAGGAGAGAAAAGGATGAAAATGAATTTCAAAGGGGAAGAGATGTCTCGAAAAATGGCACCATCCAAGAGCATAGAAATTTCAGAGAATATCAAGCAAGGAAAGGAAAAAAAACAACTTTAATGGCTTCTTTAACAAACAAGTCTTACCACGTCTGAAAAGCAGACTTGATGTGTTGCAGGAAAGTTTTAACCTCATTTAATGTTCTGCTCTTGGCAAAGTGCAGTCTGCATTAAAATGAAATCAGTAAAATCTCCTCAGGCCTGAATCAAGTGCCAAGTCCCTCTGGGATTTGTATTGCTGTCTAGTACACACACTGCAAACACACACACACTGCAAACACACACACACATGCGCACAATGACATACACAGAATCCTCAGACCAGTTGCTACTGAATCTTATCAAACTAAATCTTTTAACGTAAAGGGGAACGTAAGCGACTTGTAAAATCTTCTATAAATGAAATTTTAATAAATCACACATCTCATGATGTAAATCGAACCTTAAAGTTTGAGCTGCTGTTACTGGTGATGTAGGCTTTCCATTAATTAAAGCTTCTGAGAAGAGTTTATAAACTGTTTATGAAACAGTGTAAAATGAATATTGGTGCCTCTATGTGGCCTCTATATCAAGAGCATCAGGAATAACATTGATAGTTAAGCTCTACCAAGGCATTGGACATCGGAAGTAATTGAAACAATAAAATAATGCAAATAAATGCACTTTTTCTATTTTCTCTTCCCGCTGGCTACACAGGACAGACTTAAAAAATGTCTACATCAGTTTGTGTAAACATAGTTATTACAAATACAACCATGACAGTCATTTCGACCATGTGAACAGCTCAGAATAACACAGTCTTTAGAAATGTGTTTTTGGACTAACACAATTAAGCAGTTTAAACGACAAAGTGATTCAAGTGAATTTCACACAGTTTTACTCAAAAGTGTCCTGCCAGAAAACTCCAGCTCAATGTTTACCTGAAAAAAATGTCAATTTTCAATTTCGAAGAAAACTTTTACGTTGCAAGTTTAAAGTAAGAGATGAAATGCAAATAAATGTGTTGTATGCGTTTCATTTAAAAATGCTTTATTGAAAATAGTTCCCTATATACAGTCGCTTTTTTTCATACTTATTGTGAGCAGTATTTTGAACAGAAGAAAAAATGGTGTGACAAAAACACGGTACTGTGAAGTTGAGCAATGAAATGTCTGCGAATACCTTTGGTTAAGTTGCATTTCTATATTGTGCAAGACGATAATTACAAGTATCGTAAGCATACTTTATAGTTGTCGTACATTATGACGGTATAAATATCTTTTACCAGATGTTTTGCAAACTATATATACCTTGACGCATACAGATGTCCAGGCATGAAATATGTGCTCTATAGAGTTTATTTCAAATCACAGAAAGAACTGAAAGAAAGACCAGGAAGACCATCGGAAAAAGAACAGACATTTTTGTATATTTTCAGATGATCTCAAAGCTTCAGAATGTGTTCATAGTAATGAACACATTTGGTGGACTCCAGGAAGAATAGCTGTTTCTTAGGCAACTGCTAATGGAGATCTGAATAAATTAAATGAAATCACAGTCACTGACGATGACGATGACTGGTTAATTAAAGTCAAGTCATGCAAAAGTCAGATTTTATGCTTTGTTCAGGAAGAATAATTTAAAATTAAATACATGTATAATATTGGTCAAAAGACGCAGACATGGCTTGTAAATGAGTCTTTTGTTGTGGGGGGACATCACTGATATCTGCTACAGAAATGTGACATAATGTGAATTTCAACTATGACTGGAACCTCTTTAGTCTTCCCACTCCATTGGCAAAAGCCAAGGATGTGGATAACCCTGGCTGTATGGTTTCCTGGGAGCAGCAGGGGAAGGACGGCCATAATTTGTCGTTGGCACACTTTTCTTAATCACTGTGGAAGTCTTCCCCTGACCCATAAAGGCTTTCGTCAGTGAGTGATCCAACTCAAACGCCTCATCGGTTGGCCGTCCGCGCAGAATGTTTTTGATAGTGGGGAGGGCTAAGTCTGACCTACAGCCAAGGTAGCTCTTAAGGTTGAGCTCGGGGAAAACGACATCTCTGAGAGCCTGAACCAGCTGGTCCTCAGAGTGGGACTGTTTGAGCTGATGGAAAACTCTCTGCTCCAGCGAGACGTAGCTTAGCGTGTCTTCAGCCAGCCCAAACTTTCCCACAGAGCGGTTTGTCTGGCTCTTCTTCCGCAGGGATGGATTCAGTGTTTGTTGTTTGTATTTGGCCAGACTCTCACTCTGCTTGTCCTTGAGGTCATTTTTCTTGCCAGCACGGAGCTGCTCAGGGCCACTCGGTAGAAGCTGATAGAGCCCTTCATCCTCCAGGTCTGCTAGGTCACCAACCAGCAGCTGCTGGATGATTCGCTTCCTCATGAGTGGAGATGTGACTGTAAGAGTACCGTGCAGTCCTCTGCCTGCATCAGACACACAGCCAATCACAGCTTGTTAAACATCCCAGCTCGTGGGATATTCCTTGGAATTACTTTCGGCTTTCGCGCGCAGCATGCAGAAGCGCTGCCTGGAGCAGTAAAACCAAAAGCACAAGCCATCTCCTGCTAACAGCTTAAGATTGCAGACTATTCCACACTGCCGCGTCTAAACACATTCACCGCTAGGGAAGCAAAGCTCTTAGAGGAAAGCTTAGATAATGAGGGAAACATGCACATTATACTACACTGTATAGATCTCAATACCACAAAGTGTGGTCAACCACATCAAAGTAAGCCTTTACTGTCAAATTCAAGCGCTGCAGACTTCTCTCTATGTCAGCAGGGTGGTTAATTTGTTGTGTCTAAAATCATGGCCTACTTTCTGAAAAGCTCATCGAAGTCAATCAACTCCAAACATAATTCCGAATGAAATCAACATGAAAGCTTAACCACAAACAGGTGAGGCTGTACAAGTGTGGCAGCCCCGTACTCTGCAGAAAGAAAAGAAAATGGACATCCATCATTCAAGCGTGTCCTTCTTTGCCATTTTGAAAGCAGCACAGCGACCCTGTCATTCATATGCCCTTTGCACTCATGCTTCAACAACACAGCAAGCCCAATTAGAAGAACATACTTACCCTCTTTAAAAGATACCAGCACCACTCGGCTGTCAGCGGGCTGTGGTTTCCTGAAGTTGCTGTTCAGAGGCACAGCGGTTGAGTCCTGGGTATGGGAGGAGTAGAGGGTTGTCGCCAGGGCCAGGAACTAAGTAGAGACAACCAAATAAAACAAGGACATTTTGCACCAATCAAGAATAGTTGAACAGGGGTTTGCATGGTCTTTAAGTGTTTAAAACTATCAATTATTGGCTTATTTACTCTGATAAGAATTCTGTTTAGCGCTGATGAATCACCTGTTTGTGAGATATTGTCACGTGATTCCTGAACACGGTCCACAGGACACTGGGATAGCACGGAGGAGTCGTCAGGGACCCATCATAGCGGAAATACTCATCCAAACGTACAGGCAGCAGTGCTCTGATGTTGAAACCTGGAATCTGCACTCTCTGATCTGCATGTCGGAATTAAATAATTAGTCACTAACATGAGAGAAAAATCCAGAAAAAGATTGATTTAGGCTCTTATCTCCACATTTCAAATTCGACATGACTATATTTCACCATGGTAGCTATCTCATAACTTAGAATCTACTCAAGTAAACCAGTGTTTTAAACTCACCGCTGTATTTGACATCATTGATGAACTTCAAAAAGTGTTCAAAGGCTGGATTAAATTCTCCAACCTGTATAACAGAGGTATTAAGATATTATGCTCTTCAGATATGTTATCACTTGTCCCCACCCACAGAGTTTCCAATGTCTCACCTCTATCAGGACACCCAGCACGGCCAGGCCGTCAGACTTGTCTACAGCCATGGACATATTGGGATACTTGTCTGAATTGAAGTGTACTACATGTAGCTGTAAGAGGAGAGAGGTATTTAGTTACAAGAAGAGAAAAAACTTGGGATGACTGGTTGAAAACTCGGATAAGTTTCCTCATTACATTCAAGGTAAGAAGTAAACAGTAACAGGTGGTCACTTGCAGCATTAACAAATCAGTTGTATCAATTTTGTAATGTTGTACTCCTGTTGAAGAGCATGTTGGTCTTTCCAAAATTCTCGTTCTTTTCTGTCCATATATAATGGAGAACATCATAAGAGCTTTGTGCATCTTTGGGAATTTAGGTGGCCTTCTGGACTATTTCAGGGAAATGTTCAATTTCCCATCATTCCATCCCTTCTAAACAACATGTCATGAAAGACCTGTGGTTCCAGAGTCTGGAAAGACTTGAAAAGATGCATACTATCAACGTGTCCACTCAGAAACCCAGGTCAAACCACAGCACCTTATTTGTGGCTGTGCTGCAGCGTGGGCATGGTCATTTGAAAGCTCACAGGTTGTAACCATTTCAGCTTCCATCCTCTGTAATTCAAATGAAACCGACTCAAATATATAAAAAAAATACACTCCCATGTCTGCTTTACTTCAAGCACAAAGTAAATTAAGCAAACTTGTGTGTGAAAAGTTCTCACAGGGCTTGACACATTAAAGCACAGACAGCCACTCCTTTCCAGGGGCGGTTTAGACCAAAGCATATAATAGTCTGGTCGTCTAATCCCCAAAATCCCTGCAGAAAGAAGACGCACTGTCATTCTGTACATTCTGAGGCTAACTGAAAGTATGTCTTTTGCCTTCCAGTATGTGATAAAACATGCTAATTTCATAAGTATGTCAACCTATTTTTATAAAAACAACTATGACCTTATTTGTCCTCTCTTTACAACCGCAGTACTCAGGATTCTAAAGGCTAACAACTTCTTTATTGTTTCAAATCTCTTGAATTAGAATAAGTTTTACACAAGCATTAAACTGTCTTAGATCAAGTACACAATAAAATGAAAGATGCACAGTCAGTGCTTTCTGTAACCGTCTGACTGCAGAGTCAGCTTTAAGTCTGTCACAGTGTCAAGAAGCTGGAACAGCAACATATACAGATGCAGAGAGGTGGAAAGTTCCTGGCTGGTGCACCTTGAAGAGTGTCAGTGGCTCTTTTTCCTCTGCCAGTCAAATCTCACACGATTAAGTCATGAAGAATAAAGATGATGGAGCCGGAAACTTCAGGTATGTGACACCTGACTAAAGGATTGAACTGAGTTAACCTCAGTCGGTAATAACTACAACTTGATCGACATTTTACCCAAATATTGTTGTTTAACCAGTAATAATAGTGTACAGAAATGCTCCATCTGTACAGGAAATCCGGCATATGAAACATGACTTTAGCAAAAATTCAACACAAAAACTAGTATTAGCAAGAAAGTGCTGGGGCGCTGGTGGCACAGTGGTTAGTGTGCGCCCATGTATGGAGGCTGTCGTCTCAAGCGGGCGGCCGGGTTCGCCTCCCACCCCGTGGCCTCCCTCCCGCATGTCATTCCCCACTCTCTCTCCCTGATTTCCGACTCTATCCACTGTCCTATCTATCCTTTAAAGGCACAAAAAGCCCAAAAATAAATCTAAAGAAAAAAGAAAAAGAAGAAAGTGCTTCAGGTGTAAAAATGTGACTCGTGAAATGGCGCCATTCAGAGGGTCATGTGTATCCTAACATACAGTACTTCAAATTATAGATAAATAATAGCTTTTAAAAAGTGTTCTATTTTCCATGTTAAATCTTGTTGTGCAAAGTTAAAAAAAAAAAAAAAAAGCAAAGTATTTTTTGGAGTACAGGACATGAATAAAGTAGTATGACCCAATCATGTTGAGGATCTCAAAATTGGAAGAATTGTTGATGTACTGAGTTTCTCTCATTACTATTTAAGCGTTAATAGTGTGTAATAAAAGTTGTGGTTTGCTTAGTTTACCTCCGCTGCATACTGCTGACTGTTCACCAGGTGCTCTGAGCCTGCAGGTTTGCTGGTGGAGCCCCAGTGGAGATGGAGTTGAGCTGCAGTGTAACGATGAGGCAGGCTGGAGATGTACATCTTATGAGGCAGGGATAATTGTACTGCGGATCAAAAGACATGACACCCCACAACGGGAAACAGAGCGGGTCAGGGGTTTCTTCGGATAGCATCATGTGCATCAAGAAACATCATCTTTAAGTTGAGTTAAACTGAGTGGACTGCTGTGTGATGTCAACGGCTTTTTACAAAGGCTATGCAGCTATGTTTAAGACTTTATGTGTGGGTGACGCAGGGCGCCTTCCACATGTCCTTCAGTGTATGACGAATGTTTGCAAGTGAAAAAAGCCTCTGTCAGCTTATTCCAGACACACATCTCGCTGATGATGCCCCTCAGCTTTGTGGCGTTGAGGCCTGTCAGGCGTGCACACATGAGCATTTGTCTGGTCTTTGCACTGTGTCGGTGGTTAAAAGTTTCCTTACATTGATAATACAGCACCAAGAGTATTCAACAACACAAGGCAGACATGACATGCATGTTTGGCTGTACTAGGCTTGGCAAAAATAAAATGGCAGTTTTAACTCCATGCTTAAGGTAACAAACAAATTACATCAGTCCTGCAGCGTACTGTTTAGTCACAGGTTTCTGACTGTACGTGTTTGTTATCTTCTAATAATACAGAAATGCTCAACAAACAATGATTTTGTGGAATCCTCACATTCATCTGTTTGGCTGTATGTGTTCAGATTGTTAAATTTAGAAATAGAATTTAAGGCTGTGCTATAAGCAGATAATGGTACATTAAAGTGAAGCTGTTTTCTTTTGTTAAGATGCATGAGAGCCAGTGGTGGCAGAGAAGATGACTAATCTCTTTGCTCATATTTTTCCTTGACTAAACGTGGAGCTCTTTTCTTTGGGTGAAAGGACAGCTGACATAATAAGAGAGTGATTATGGAAAATTGCTGTGGCAGATGTAGAGAGAAGATCCATGTATCATTATCTTGAAGTTGACCCAGAAGTTAGGTCTGAACAGGAAAAGAGGAATCCAGCATACTTATGTGGGGGCATTTCTAATGATGCAGCACTTTGACATTTCAAGATTCCAGAGAGAGAAAGTGCTTGACAGTTTTTATTACCTGTGATGGAATGAGATTATAATGATGCAACTGTGCACTTCTCTTGCAATTGATGATTTATACTCACCAGAATGTCCATTATTTCCAAGGGTAAGCTGCTCGTCAGACGACAGGTCGTAGTTTTGAACCTCAACTGGACCCAAAGTCGGGTCAAACCTCAGCAGCTCTGACTCGATGTCTATTGGAGACTGGAAAGATCCTCCACAGTATGGATAATGCTTGGACCAGTACTGCTGTCCCTCTTGCCCTGCAAGAAGCATCAATGTAAAGTATTAACAACAAAACACCCTTTGGAGATTTCTGCAATTTCATGTACCCCAGATATAATCTTCACCTTTTAAATATGATGTAAAAAAAATCAAAGGGATCCAAATGTCGGTTTCGTTTCAGATCAGAAGGAAAGATCTGTTGCATGTCTTTATAAATGTTACGCTGTTCCAGCTTAAAGGGCAAATGAGCAAAGCGTGCCCAAGTGGGAAGCTGGGGAGGATATGGCTCCAAAGAGGGCTTGACTTACTAAACATTTGTCCGTAATCAAAGTGAAGTATTATTATCTATGCACAGGGCGGCATGGGAGAGGCCCGTGACTCTGCTCTTGGCCCTTTTTCTAAAGCATTGAGAGTGAGAAACCGGCTGTTGTTTTCTGGGAAGAGCCAGAGAGAACGCTGACTCGCTCCAAATGAGAGGTTTCTCTAAAGCACAGGATACTGAAAATGGCCACATTTTCCGATCAAGTCCTGCTGTTCACAAAAGACCTCAGCTTCTGGACGGTGTCTCTCAAAATCATGTCTGCCGAAGCAATGAAGCACACTGGTCGGATAAATAATACAGCACAGACAATAAGGAAATCTGGACGCTCCTGATTTCATTCAGTGTGTTGACTGAAGTGTAAAGATCCATACTGAGCTTTTCAAACATCATTAGACAGTAAATGCACCACCAAATCTGAAGTGGAGGGCAACATAAAGCAATGACTGAATGAATATACTATGCTCCCATCACTTCTGCATACTTGCCTCTTATTCAATATCAGTCCAGTATTCATGTAAAATACACCATTCACCGTGTGCCAGATGACCGCGGTTCAATATGAATGATGCAGCATGAGGCCGGCCCACACCGCGAGTGTCAAATCCCAGACAAATGTGGATTGATTGCACAAGACATTGCCAAAAGGCATCCAGTGAAGCAGTAGGGAATAAAATATTTATTTGAAGCTAAACTCAAAGTTCAAACCGGGCCTTATAATGAGAAAGAAATATACTCCTATGGCTATTATTACTCAGTGTCCACTTCAATTGCTGTTTTAATGAGACCCAGTCTGTCCTTTAATAATGGCCCTCGGTAACCTTTGGTGGCCTGTTGGCGGTACTTGGTAGAACACACACAACTGGAGGTAATTTTTTTTATTAATTCTACAAAATAACTTCTTCAACATTACATCACTGGTCAGCGTAGACAATTATGAACAGAGGAGGCAGAGAACACAACAGCAGTCGATCAAAATAACTTGCTTTAATTCTCATGATAGGGTGGTCTGCCTTGAGTGTAGCGGTGGAGTTAAATTGCATGACTCAGCTGTTCCCCCTTCAACACAAAGCACTACCAGCCTTCCACACTACTGACTTCTATGACAAGTCCTCTTGAGGGTTTGACTGTAACTGAGGCTGAAATGCACTACGCTCAAGCCAGAGGTTATTTTTTTAAAATATATATAACATCGTTACTCAGAGGTCATCATAATTCTTTTCACTCATACTTCCAGATGTTGTGTCGTCATTAAAGTAGCAGATATTTTGATTTGATCAATACATTTTTTGGAGTGTTAATGTACAAACAAATCTCTAATATAGCCCAGTTTGGATCTAAATGTCTATTTATTTATGCATCTCCTCATTGGGAAGTATTACTTTCACTTACACATATGAACAAACAGGTGATACAAACAGGTAAATAAGGTCCACAAACATCTATTTGCTAGTATTCATTCCAAGCAAATGCTATACATTAAAAACAGAAGTTGATGAGCTTCTCTCAGTGGTTAGAATTTGTTATAGAATTATCATTTCATCAAATTTATTTTACTGTGGATTACTCTTGAAATAATTTTTTTTTTTTTTCCCTTTTTGGAAGAACTGAAGAACAGAGACAGAAAAAAAGCAGGTTTGACCAACATTTGAAGCGATTCATGATTCCAATCCTCAAAATTGGATTTAAGTTTATTTAGAGTAATACAATGACATTCACTTGCCAAATTGTTGGTTTTAACAATTATAGTTCCTGAACAAGACACAGTGTGAAGTATTGGCACAAAGACAAGAGGTCACGCTCTCAGCACAGTTTATGTAAGATATAGTCACGGCTCAAGAAGTCTCAGCACAGAGTCCTTAAGGCAGGAGACAAAGGCACTCAGCCTTGACAGCTCATGAAATGCTGTGATTGCTGAGTCTGTAATGAACTCTGCAATTACAAGAGGTGACAGGGGGGATGTCAGAACTAGTTGTTTGGAGGTCAAACAAGGGCTGCAGAGGTTCTTTTCCACACTTGATTACAAATTACATTTCTTCTTCTTTATTGCGCTGCCAATTTAAAGCATTCCAGTGGGGACAGAACAACAATACCAGCTTCTAGTTACAGTTACAGCCTGTCAGAAAGTTAAATCAACTTCTTAAAATTCATTTGGTTAATGCTGGTTTTTAGAGTACAACACAAATGTGAGTAACAAAGACACACCAGTTCACATGGGCTTACACTGCAAATGCACAAAAGATGAAGGACTTTAAAAAAAAAAAAACAACTCTTTCATGGTCCGGCATTAGCAAACTGGGAGAAAAATATGATCAGACTTACCAGTGTATGTCCATTTGGCAGCTACAACAGACAGAATTTTATTTTTTAAATTGATGAAAATTAATGTTCTCACACACAACAATTATTTATTATACAAACATCGAATTAAATATAACAACTTTTTGAATATTCAGCGAACATTTAAATGAATAAGCAAATCATTTGGAGCAGATATCAAACATTAATCGGAGAGACAAGCAGACGTATTTATGTCACACATGCCGCAGATGGATGGATACACCTGCCATGAAGAAAGTGCTGAAAGTCTTTAGATGAAATGTTTTCGTCCTTTTCTACTTAACACATATGAAACAGTTTTATTAGTCTATTTACATCCTACTTTTTTGATTGTTTTGCCCCCCCTCAAAGCTCTTACCGTGCAGCACTGGCAGGTTGGTGAGCTGGAGCAGCAGGATGGGTGTGAAGCTGAGAAAGTGCATCTTGATCCCCTGAGCCCTCCCTCGCGCTCTAGTCTGACGTTAACCTGGTGCAGAGGAGCTTGGAGCGCGAGCCTTCAAACCGGCTTTTTATACCCATGCTGCCAGCTTCATGGTAGCTCACAGTGACGTCAGAGCAACAACAAAACCAGCCTCCAGAGTCATTTGGTCACCGGACAGTGACAGCTCAACAGCGACGACCGCATCGAAGACAAGTCACTCATTTAGGGCTCCCGGTGTTACACAAACATCTGCCTCTCTTCAGTTTGACGCTGAAGGTAAAGAGGAATGAAGAGACTGCTACACAGGTGGGTTTGTTTTGGCTCTGCAAAACAGACCTACACACCTGGAGGTCCTGTCATTATATGAACTGTCACCATTTCTGATTAAGTTTGCCGTCAAAGTTTGGTCAAAATACAACATGATGTTCAGGATGACCCAGAGACATATTTGGTTTTCCTTTGTCCAAACCTGTCAGCTCGTTTAGGCTACATAGTTTACTTGATCTGGTGACCCATTTCGATGCACATGACATGAGGTTACAATGCCAATTATTTAGAAAGAAGATAAGGAATACCTGTTATTTGAAAACTTGTCCCCAAATCCCATAAACACAGAACATTCTGAGAATATCTTCGAAAGCCCCCCTCCACTCAAAAAAGTGACTCCACTGAGATGCTTAGATGTTTGACCCTCATGGCGGTTCAGAATGATGTTTATGAGAGTTTGACACAACAAGGCTACATGTGGACTTATGTTTCAATTTCAGTGAGATGTGTGAACTTGAAAACACCCACAAACTGACATTTTTTGTAAACCTTTATTTAACCAGGTTATTTAACCCATTGAGATCAAGAATTCTTTCACATGGGTGGACTGGCCAATTTGGCTGCGGCACACGTCATAATAAACATTACATTTAACAGTTCACAAACAGTAAGTTTGAAGCAACAATTAAAATGTGCAAATTGGTTCAGAGATAAAGTGCAGAAGATGTGATCACAGATTACAATTCAAAAAACACAGGCACTGTCCAATGGTCTAATGTTTTTTATCATATAAAATAGACCCAAAGGCTTCAAGAATGGATGTAGGAGACATCGAGTCAAGTGCTGTTAAAATAAAATGTGCTTAATTGCTGTGCTTTCAGCAATGGAGAAGCACAACTTTCCATTTTTTTGCATGATAAAGCATTTGGGTGAAAATATCTATTTATTGATGCATCTTTCTTGAATACTGCGAGAGGTATTTCAAAAATGAAAGATGAAGTCTTACACCGTCAGAATGCAAAGCTGACAGCCTAAATGACAAAATAAGAGGATAGAGTAACTCCTTGAGGTAACAATGACAGAAAAGTTTGAACTTAGTGAACATGTTCTCTAATCAAGCTTTCTGCAGAGAATAGGTAGCATTTGCAGTCATTAAAATAGATTCAGGCAATCTCAGTTTTGATGCATTGGGTGTAGACGCACTCCATAAGGATATAAAAGTAACTAATGAAAAAAACTGCCGACCTATGCCTTTCCAATGGCATTCTGTGTGTTTAAGTTGCTGCTGTGTATTCCACATTTAAGAGGTTTTTAAATGTTTCTTCAGTGAGGTTTGAAATCCTTGCACTAGGTGGAATGAAATATTTAGAATCAATAAAACACAAACATGGATTTGTTTTAACATAACTCTTACCTTTAATACCATTATCACATATTACTGAATGCTGCTTACAGGGCTTGTTATATCTGGTAACGCCTTAATATATAAAAAAGCCACCTCTAACCTGTAATAAAGGTCATAAAAAGAGGAAGATGCCTGTCCCCGCTGTAAACTTTTGTTTCTATTGAAGGTGTAAACTATAAGGATGTGAGGGTCCAAAGGTCAGCAAGGACAACCCACTCCCACTGCAGTTTACAACCATCACTCACTCCTAGACGGACAGCGCAGAGACCAACAGCAAGATGAAGCACCTGCTGTTTTTTGGGATTGCGTTGGCTGTGTTCCACATGAGCCAGTCAGTTCCAGGTACATGATACTATTTTCTTACTTATACTGCCTTAAATTTAAAACTGTGACAAAATGTCAGTCTATGGGCCCTAAGTTGACTTTTAAGACTAGGCTGTAGTTTGGGCTCGTCATTCGTGGGTTAACTATGATGTGGTGGCCTTTTGCTTTTATGTTTTTGTTCTAAAAGTAGAAATTTGTGTTTGATATATCTTTTAAGGTGACCATAAATGTTTTTCACTTCGATGTAATGGCTCTGTTTCACTGAACCTCGATCAAAGAGATAAAGCCTCACCTTTAGTCCTTACAAAGCAACATGGCGGTTACATTGGCGCTTGACTGAAAAGCTAAACTGTAGGTGGAATCATGTACAATAAAAAATGGCCGCTTCTTTTTTCGCACGGCAAGAGAAAAAAAATATTCGCTTGTACAAGAAAACAATACACTTGATGGCCAAATGTAATTTCAGCTCATACAAGTCTAGACTGCAGCAGGATATCATTGTATTGTAACTGTTTTACTGACTCCATGCTCATGTTGTAACTTGCAAATGCAGCCACAGATGATTGTCTCTAGTCGTCAACAAAAAGAAAAGATGGTAATTAATGTAAATGTACTCTCTGGGAAATGTTATTTACACACTGCTAATGAGTGTGCTAAACTGACTGGATATCATCTGCCTCTGTAATTCCAACCTTTAAACAGTGAGATCATTTCTGTCTGAGCCTAATTAAAAAGACTGAAACTACGTCTGCCTGAAACGTCATCTCGCCTCCAAAACCTGCATACTATATGGGGAGGCCAATGTTTTTGACATCCAGTGATATCTCGTCAGTTAGTTGGGCCTAGTTTCCCTCCAAAATCTGAAGTATTGGAGATTTAAAAAAAAAGAGAAGTTGGGTCCTAAAGAAACAGTTGGAAACATTTGCCTTCAGTTACATCTATGAAGGGCGGGACGACTGAAAATGCACCATAAATTGCCCTTTTTATTGCCGTGATAAAAACAGGGAGTGGGTCTCTGGTGAGGAAGTTAGTTAAACATTAGTTATGTGATCACAGGTACTGGCTCATGATGTCTACAGAAACACCCATCATATAGTCACAGTGCAATGTTCAAAATACTTCATGTTTGAAAACCATAACAACTAATTTTGCCAATACAACTAATTTTTTTTTTTTATATAATCCCACAGATTTCTGTCTCCTTAAAGAAGATGAAGGCACGGGGCCAAGTTTTATCTTCGCTTTGTATTATGATGCTGCCAACAGTCGGTGCAGTCCTTTCCTGTACAAGGGCCAAGGAGGAAATGAGAACCGCTTTGTAAATGAGAGAGAATGCATAAGAAACTGTTCTGCTGATGCAGAGACGCTCTACCCTATGGATGGTGAGAGGAGTTTATGAATTTCAACTGATGGAGAATTGATGAAATCACTTATTTTGTTTAACCACTCTATATGTTTTGGTTGTACTAAATGTCTAGTGAAGATGTATAGGTAAACTTTTATTCGTCCTGACTGTTTTCTGTGGACTTTGGAACATGAGATGGTGAATGAGGACGAGTTTTATGGCCTAAAGAGCCATGAAAGGAAACTTTATCGTGAGCCTCCCTGGTCAAACTGAAACTGTAATGACACATCTCTCTCTTCTGTCGAATGAGGAGCATAGTCATCATGTGAAATGATCAGAGCCACTGTTATTCTGTATATCAGTTTAATACAGCCAAATCACTCAACTAGTTACATTTATCATTTTATTATTTTGTACAGTTTTTTCAGGGGCTGCGGGAGAGACATGTCGGCAATGTGTATTAGCATTACGCCACCAAGTGGTGAAAGATGGGGACTACTCAGGACAGATAACAATGTGAATGAAAACACCTGCTGTTTAAAAAAATGCTTGATAAAGTTATATATTTCTAATGCTCTACTGTATTCATAAGTGAGAAGTTTAGAAAAACTCAATAAAATGTGTGATACATGAGTATTTTTAACAAACAACCATCACTGCTGAAGATGCAGGTGCTCATGACGATGATGCTTTGTCTTCACAGCTTCTGAGGCTTGCCACTTCAAGAAGTTGGCAGGTGGTTGCAGTGGTCAGCATTTGAGATACTACTATGATTCTGTTCATGGAAAGTGCAAAAAATTCCTCTGGACTGGATGCTTCGGAAACGGAAACCGGTTTCTCGACTCTAACAGCTGCAACACCACCTGTGCCGGAATCCTCGGTGAGCCCAAATCTCTCTCTCTCATGTACACAATCCTCCTGATAGTTAGACATACTGACATAGCAAAATGTCCATGCATGGTTACAAACTGGTGAGTGAGTAATGATACTATTAAATGTATGGTTCAATTATATGTTTTTTTTTTTTAACATGTTCATGTTTCTGTTCTCAGATGAAGGGGATGACATGGAAGAGGATGAGCCTGACACTCCCATTGGTCAGTAGACACACATGAACTAAATGTTATATTTAGCTAAAATGAGTGACTAATTACACATCATCTTCATAAGCAATATATTTTTGATTTATCTATCCATTGATCCATTTATTTAAATGTCAATGTCAGCAGAACAGAATGCTTTAGATAACTTTGTTTTGGTCTAAATGTTTTGTTTTCACTCATCACTGATCAGGACCTAACTTCTGATAACTCTTTATTTAAAGGTATAATTTGTACACATTTTAGTATTTTACCCATTAGCATGAACCAACTGACTGATGTTATCTTTACAGCAATTATCTGTGGAGTTTTGCTCGCTGTCATTATTGTTGGTATCTTCACAACAGTGATCGTCTTGACCGTCCAGTCGAAGTAAGACCATTTTACTTTGTGTTAAGCCTGATCTTTAAAATATATTTTTTTAAATAATAGAATGTCCAACAGGACATAATTACCTTGTTTTAATCATCCAAATGTGAATCTGACTTCTTTAGGAAGAAGGACTCCAAGAAGAAGTCAGGAGGAAAAAGCCAAGAGCCCCAGACTGAAACTCCTCTTCAGGATCAGAGGATCGAAATGTCATAGAAGAGTGTATCATCTTGATCTCATCACGTGGAGTTTTTACCACTTTACTTTTGTATTATAACTCTTGTAGTTTTGATAAAGAAAATTTCAAATGATTATAACATTGAAGTTCGGCTTAAATTTTGTACTGACATTCAAAGGAGGGATTTTGGTTCAACTTTGTTTTGTTTTTCAGCCTCACAACATGTTCAAGGTGAAGTTGTAAAAAAAAAAAAAAAAAAAAAGAGCTGAAAGAATAAAATTAATTTTGTTAAAGGAATAACCAACTTAAGTTTCTTTCTTTTTTTTTCACCAAATATTTAGGTGGGAGCCCTCACTACTTTTATTTGTCTTGTGTGATTATAGTCAAGTCAACTTTATTTATAAAAAACCACCAAGGTTGACCAAAGTGCTTTACAGAGTAAAAAGTTATAAATATATGTCATGTATCATGTTTAGGAGTACTCCACATAAAGTGGCTTTGGACTGTTGGATAGATATAGAACTAGCAATATGGATCCAGGAAATGATGACAGACCTTTAGAATTACTTTTCCGACCAGACGTGTCAACAATTAATCCAGGAAAAGGATGATGCATTTATCAATAATTGAATTGATTGTTTATCGCAAGTTTAATAGAAGCAGACCAATCCGAAAATAGGAACATGTTTTTGACTAACATTCAAGCTAAACAGACGCAGAACTACATCATTTCCTCGTCTGAGTGTGCACTTTTACCTGTAATGCTTTTAGCTATGTGATCGCATGGTCATTTCACTGTTTACAAAATATAACTGCATCATCACCTGGCTAAACATCTTCCTGAAAAACTGTCTGAAGTCATCTGAAGACACTGACATTGAGAATCCAACACATATATTTAGAGCTGTTTTTGTAAAGTGCTGCCCAGTGAGTGCCCTCTCTCTGTTATTATATTTCCCTCCTCAGCGTTTGTGAATCTCTTGTTGTAAGCTGTTAAGACGTCAGCATGAAAGAGTCAAAAACCCTTTCCAATTTCCTGACATTTATCTTTGGATGTATGTAATCTTGTGCTCAAGCTTTGTGTTTTGGATATAAAAATGGTAACTTTTCAAAGATTGACTGTAGATTGTCCAACTATTAAAAACATGCCATGTGTTTTTGTGCTGGTATGAGACAAACCGTTGTTTAACCAAATACATGGTATTGCCTTCTTTTTATTTTGCTTTCATACAGTTCAAAGTTGCATTAATAATTCAAATTTAGATAAGAGTGGTTTATTGATGTTTCCCACTATTATTGATGAAATGTAATGTGCACTGTATGTTTGAAGACTGTTAATGCAGGAGATTACCAAAATGGCACCTGGGGCCACTAAGAAGGGGGTGGAAGTGGAGGGGGCAGCAAGAGTAAATCAAGACAATGCACAGCGTATTTTTGCGAGTGAACTTCCAGGTAAACACAAGGCTGACAATGAATCTACAAACAAACAAACAGTGGTTAATAAAGAGAGACACACCATACCTGTGTGAGATGGGTTTTACTGAAGTTGCCTCAATCAACACGTAGGCTACTACAGATCAAAAATGGACACTGGAAGCGTCCAAATGGAAGTATGAGTGGCAGTCTCACAGCTGCACCAGAATTGAGATAATCTGTAGCACAAATCAAGCCCACACTCAAATCATTGAAATTATTGCCGGACTGGAACGTATCATAAAAGAAGATTTTCATCATTATTGTTTTTTTTTATTTTAAGTTAGTTGTTCATGCTTATACAAAGTCAAGTTTAAACATACTGGTTGCAATGACTGCTGTTAGGCTGCAAAAAATGAGAAGTTTCATGTTGCAGTCGTCTATCACTTTCACTTTTAACTTTCTATTTAAAAAGAAAAAGGCACTACTTCGTTGATCAATATGTGCCCGTGTGTCCAATGTGTGTGTGTGTGTGTGTGTGTGTTCTCGCCAAAGGAGAAGAAAAAAAAGTTAGGGAACTCTTTATTGGAAGGAAAAAAAAAATAGCTTTACCCTTCTCTCCCATTTCCCTCATCATATTTTTTGTATATGATTTTTTCTATCATAACCTGGATAGAAAAATGTGGAAAACAATACTGAGTTGGCACACATATATATCTTGCAACTACGCATGCGTGACTGCCACGGTGATAGTGATTCGTTAGAGAAGTTAACCCCCTAACATTGTTCAAGATGGCTAATTTAAAGCAGACCAGCTCTTAAAACTTAAATTAAAAAAAATCATTTTCAACTGGGAATCAGGCAAATGGTGGTGTTTAAAAAATTACCAAGGGGATGTAAATGAAGGCGGAAGTAGTTTAACACACTGTTTCTCATCTTTGATTTGTAGTTTCGGGCCGAGCCGGCAGACCTGCGTCACTTCCTCCAGTTATTTCCATTTGTTTGTGGCAAACGCCAGCGGTTATCTAGTACCTTAAACACCAAAGATAGCATTCGTTTTTAAAACTTACAGCAGTTAGAGTGGATACGTGATTTGGCGTATCTTATGTAAACTAATAAAGCCTAAACTATGCAGGAAACGTAGAGAAACGAGCAAATGTGTTAGCGTTAGCAAAGACAGAAAACGTGCGTTCGCCAACAGAAATAGTTGGTCAGCTAACGACAGCTAGTTAGCAGGTTTCAGGTTAATTGGCTACAAAGTGTTGTAGTGCTTTGGTTTTCCTGGTGGTGTTTTACTTTTTGCTTACGTTAACTTATCTTGACATTTTGTAAACTGATGGAGTGCCCTCATCTGAACTCAAACGTGAGTCCCGTCGATTCCTCCCGGTTCCCAAACGGCACTCCGTCCTCCTGGTGCTGCATCGGTAAGAAACGCGTTAGTCTTTCATTTTTATACAGTTAGTAACGGAAAGAAAAGTACAGGTTCTGTGTCCCCGTTATCTGCTGCCACTTATACCACTACGTTTGAGTGAGACGGGTAGATGATGTAGCGTCAAGTCAAACAGAGCAGAAATCTTAATTTGTGTGTCTGAATATGCCTTTTGTACGGAAGAGGATTAGGGCCACACATAAAAACAAAAATAGAGTTCTGCATACTAGAGTGATTTTAAAGTCAGAAGTCTGAGAATAAAGTCAGAATTCAGAGTTTAAAGTCAGAATTCTGAGAATACATTCAGAGTTTAAATTCAGAGTTTAAAGTTAGAATTCAGAGTTTAAAGTCAGAATTCTGAGAATAAATTCAGAGTTTAAAGTCAGAATTCAGAGTTTAAAGTCAGAATTCTGAGTTTAAAGTCAGAATTCTGAGTTTAAAGTCAGAATTCTGAGAATAAATTCAGTTTGAAGTCAGAATTCAGAGTTTAAAGTCAGAATTCAGAGTTTAAAGTCAGAATTCAGAGTTTAAAGTCAGAAGTCTGAGAATAAATTCAGAGTTTAAAGTCAGAATTCAGAGTTTAAAGTCAGAATTCTGAGAATAAATTCAGTTTGAAGTCAGAATTCAGAGTTTAAAGTCAGAATTCAGAGTTTAAAGTCAGAATTCAGAGTTTAAAGTCAGAAGTCTGAGAATAAAGTCAGAACTCTCAGTTTAAAGTCAGAATTCAGAGTTTAAAGTCAGAATTCTGAGAATAAAGTCAGAACTCTTTTTTTTTAATTTTTTTTATGTGTGGCCCTAATCCTCTTCCGTACTTTTGATTATTGAAAGAATGGACCGCTCAAAAGCAAATCACAGCATAATATTGTCTCGCTTAAGTTTACACAAATGATTTAAGGCTGCTTCGTGTTTTGTCTCCAGATTGCAGGTCTAATAAGAGTCCATGGATTTGCCTTACCTGTCTGGTGGTCCATTGTGGGAGGTAAGTTGGAGTGTGTTGATGCCGTTTTCAGTGGCTCGCTACTTCAAGACGTTTGCAATTCGTAAGCATTTTGACTCCAACTGAGACAAGTTAATTATACAACCATGTCAGTCCTGTAATGCTGTGAAGTGTTTCAGTGGGAAAAACTAAGTCAACGTTAGCTGAGACATGTCTGGGTATAAACATAGACCTGAAACCCAATGTTGTCAATATTTGGGAAAAAAAAAACATTTCTTCGAGATAAGATTTTCTCTAGTTGATGAGGGGCACCATTAGACTCAAGATGAAAACTGCAATTTCTGTTTTACATGGGCTGATTCTTTTATAACACATGTAAGTACAGTATATCATATACCAATGTCTGTTACCGTTTATATTAGGTTATTTACAAAAAGTTCCAGATCGTATTTGTTACAAATGAATCTCTTTCTTTATAGATATGTCAATGGACATGCAAAGAAACATTTTGAAGAGAGCCAAGCCATTGGTATTACCCAGAAGAAGGCTGAGAAACAAGAGAAAGAGAAATCCCATCATTCTGTCTGCATGGACTGCAGCAGCTACTCTGTATTTTGGTGAGTGTCCTTCCTCACTTTTTCTATTCCGTCGACTCACTGTGGGGCCCTGCTAAAGTACAGCTATAAAAGCTTCTAGCATTTAAAAGATCAGTATGATGCGATCATGGGAACACGTGTTATTTATAAGGAAAACTAAGACATGCAAACTATATTGAGAATTATTACTTGAAAGGGCCTTCTGCCACATTTATATCCGTGGTTAAGTATTGCATGCTGCATATAATATAAAATCCCACAGTTCTAGTGCAAAGTTTGAATGTGTTCATTAAGTTTGTTGAATTTCCAACTACTTGTGTGTTTTGACTGTTACGGATTTTGTAGTTACAGATGTGATGACTTTGTTGTTAATGACACCAAACTGGGGCAGGTGCAGAAGGTGAGGGAACATCTCCAGAGTTTAGAGAAGTAAGTACACATTTCAAGAATGAACTCTCTATTAGTCTGGCCATACCAAAAATGTTTTTACATAGTCTGACATAAAAAGCCAACTCTGAGCTGCATCAACCAAAAAAAAAAAAAGCCAAATAAAGAATATTCAGATAAACAATGCTTTACAAAGTCAGTGATGTGTTATTTCCTCCTGCAGCTCAGCTCTGATGAGTGAAAGACAGAGAAAAAGAAAACTTCAGGAGAGCACAGACCAAGACAGCAAGTTGTTAAAAGACAATGTAAGTGACTATCATTTTTCTGATATTCTATATTTTTGTGGGAAGACGATTTATTTCTCAAAACTACGCACACACTTGTGTATTTCACTTGTCTCTGTCAGGATGGGGCTGCTTTAGGTGCTACAGGCCTGAGGAACTTGGGGAACACATGCTTCATGAATGCCATTCTGCAGTCTCTCAGGTAAGCTCTGCACTGAAGATGAGGTATGTGGGTGGTAAAGGGGGTTTGTGGCATGGTTCAGTAGCTCTACCCCTGTAGACCCTGGGCCTCATGATCAGTCATCCTTTATTAATACAGTCTGGGGCACAGGCAGGGGAATTACTCAGGCTGCATGGAAACAAGACACAGCCAAAGCCCAGGTTTTACAGTTAACACGTACAATCCTTGTCCTGGATCCTAAGTACTATTCAAGTTACTTTACATAAAGTACATGTTATATATTACTGCTGAGCATTAACCAAACATGCCACAGATTTTTAAAATGATATATATATTTTTTTACCATCACATATTTTCTATTCATCTCAGTTTGGTGTTAAAATCGATATGCACAAACCTGAAGTGTAAATATTTATGTATAATACAATCTTATGAGATTTTGCTTGTATATCACATTTTTGCATGGCATCTCCTTTCATAACATTACTAGCTCAGATCATTCGTGACAAACGGTTGCTTCTATATGTCATTATGAAAAAAGCAGCAATATCTTTGAAATAAGCATGGGATACAAATAACCAAATCTGAATCGCTTCTGAGCATTGATCAGTTTGCAATCATGTTGTCTAACAAGCTACCGTGTTAGCTTAACAAAATGTATGTTTTTGGTCCTTTAATCATCGTGTCCATGGAAAAGTGAAAATACAAGACTGCCCAGATTCAAACAGAGATTTCACTGTTAACTACTTAATTTCATGTTGTATTTATAAGTAGTTGACATACATAGGGAGCAGTAATGTCTTAATGTTTATTTACTGTTGATATGGCTTCTGCCTTTGACATTGTTTGCTTTAATGTAGATTTCAATTGTCAAACATCTTTTAACATGCGTTTCTTTGACAGCAACATTGAGCAGTTCAGCTGTTATTTCAAAGAGTTGCCTGCAGTGGCTCTTCGCAGTGGTAAG